CACACGCACACACGCACACATGCACATGTACGATGTTGTTCCTCATGCCTCACGTCGCTCACCTCATCGTCTTCCCCCCCCCCCAACCGCACCGCACTTGCTCTTCGGTTGTTTATGGGTATGCATCGTGCTGATGACGACGACCTGACGGACGACCTGACGACCGCCACTGGCCATCAATCACCATGACGACTGTCAACTGCCGAACTCAGCGTGACGACACCGGTTGAGAACGAGCTGGAGACGTTTGTGACCAAGGTTGTCAACGATCTCCTTCAACCTGACGTGCACAACCTGCAAGCCAAGAAGTCCGCCTGAAGGCCACCCAACACAAGGCGCTGCAGCGTTGAGCTGAGCTGGACTTTGTGTCGTGTATTTGTGTTGTGTTGCCACCACCATGGCACCTTTCCTTGTTGAACACACGCCCGTTTGTTCCTGTTCCACCTGCTGCGCTGCTGTGCGTAGCTTCCATGACCTCTCCCTCAGCCTCTGCCTTCCTTCCCTTCCCTCCCTTCCTTCAACAAACACACCAACCAACCAATAAACCACCTCCTCATTATGCTGACCGACCCTTCCCCTCGTTGGCACTTCCCGGCACTTCCCGCACTCCCTCCTCGCTTCCGTCCATCACATCTGTCGCATCCCCAACCATTGGCCCTCCTCTGAGTTGTGTGTGACAGGCCCGCGCAAGCCAAAACACGACACAACCAGAAACGAAACCGCCACCCAACCCGTTTCACGACAGCATGAAACACTTTGCCTGCAGGCAAAGGTGCAAAGCCCCGTAGGTTTAACCGCCAAAGTTTTGAAAATTCAACTAAAACACGCACAAAGTTTCCTCCATGCCCACTACGCTACCAACTCTTTGACCCAGCAAAAGGCTGATTGGTCCCACCTTTGCATTCCAAAGCAAACGCTGACGTGACATGATGACGGTTGAGTTATTTGAGAATTTGGACGGTGGTTGTGTGCGCGTGCAAGTGATCTGACCCGCCTCGGAGATTCGCGCTTTACCCGAACGACCACAACCGCGGGTGCGACGATGCGTCCCGCGTGCAAACGCGTAAAGTTAACCGTTGTGTCGTCACGTCTCAGGGAATCGTCGGTGTGTCCCTCGATACGCACGAACGCGCGAGTGCAAATCGAAGGCACGCGAAGGCGGGTTGTGCTGTCGCAGCTGAAAAACAACAACAAGACCTTGCTGTGCCTGGTTGGGTAACGGTTGGTTTTCGCGATCCTTTTGCTGGCTGACGAGTGACCCGCTAAATTCTGCCCCTACGCAAGCACCCGACACTTGCATGTTTGGTAGGGTGCGAAACGGTGCGAAACGGCGCGAACCCAGACCCTGCTCGCGCAGCGTGCGAAAGGGTTGCGCGCTACCCAACCACACGCACGCACACGCCGCGCGGGTCTTGCCGTTTTGGCAGTCTGGCCGTTGCCGCATATCTGGGGCTGCCCAACACGTAAAATCAAAACATTGGAAAGGGTTGCACACTCACACACACGCTCAACCACGAAACACCCCAAGCAAAAGCAAAAGCGCTACTAACAAAAGCAAAGCAACAGCCAACCCACCCCCGCCCAAAACATCCGCCGCATAAACACCGACACCGCCTCGAAGCACCAACCAACAAACCCACCATACCAGCACACACAACCCGTCCGTCCACCCGACCAACGAACAAACCAACCATCCAACTGCACCGACCAAGCAACGTCTACCAAAACTCAAATCCAGCGGCAATCGTTGCTCGCTCCTTCCATTTTTCATCCACCACCCAGCACCACCACCCAGCACCACCACCCAGCACCACCACCCAGCACAACCCCCTGCATCGACGTGACTTGACTCAACTCCATATCACGAGCGCGAACGAAACACAACGGCCGTGCAACCGCTCGACTTGACACACGGAGCCAGCCGTCCTCCGTCCTGCATCACCTATATCACCCGGCCAGCCAGCCGTCCACCCAGTCCAACGTGTGCCGCAGCAGCACCAGCAGCTGCTCCAATCCAGAGCACCCGCATCGCCCACGCTACCAAGTCCTTCCTCATTGTGCTCACGGGGCCGCCAGCTCTCCTGCACAGCACACAAAGCGCTTCCGTTGTCAACCAACCTCAAATCCACCGCAGCTGCGACTGGGCGGATTTGAATTACTCAACGTGACAGCAAAAGCAAGACACGCCATCCCCCTCCCGCAAGCAACCAAGAAGACAAGCAAGCACGCAAACGACAACCTATCCCAGCGGCATCCATTGCATGCGGCCACCAGCCAAGCTTGCCACTTCTTCCAATACGAGCACCACTTCTTCGACTTGTTCGTCTTTTGTTCTACGCGCACTCGCTTTCCCCAAGGTCGCAGCGCAAAGAAAGAGGCTGACCACCACGTATCACACGCATACCACAGCGGCTGCAACTGATCCTTCCCCCCCCCCCCCTCTTTCTCTCTCTCCATCTTCACGAGCACGCACACAAGGATTGCCCATCCCCCACGTTTCAGCACTGCCACACTTCCCTCCGCTTTGAAACTGGTTCCCCGCACTCCGCGACCAAGATTTTTCCTCCGCACAAACACGCACAAGCCAACCCTCCACTGCTGCACCACGGCTCCAACGGCTCTGCACCAACACCAACAGCGGTACTCTCCCCCAGCCACGCACACCCTCTCTCACGACACTGTTGGATTGTGCATGTGAGGGGGCTCCGTCGGCCATTTTCTTCTTGCCTCCTGAATCGCCAACAAGCATCCCAACAGCAACGACGTTATCCACGACCACAACGACTTGTGCTGCCACCCTAAACACAAGCCCTTGGAGGGTTTTGAATCGACCCCTACTCCCCCAACTCTCCTGTCCTCACGGACCCCGCCACGTTTGGCTGAGCAGTCACCGTCCCTTCGTTTCGCTCCTCGCTCAACACAGGAGACCCCCACTTCGGTGTTGTAGCTCCAACGCACACGCGCACAATACCCAACAACAACAACAACAACAACAACAACAACAGCAGCAGCAGCAGCAGCAGCAGCAGCAGCTTCATCCACACACACACACACACACACACACACACACACACACACACACACACACACACACACACATCATGGACAACCTCGGGCCCCAGTCTGGCAACATGCACGCCGGCACACAGAACACCCGCCTGTCCCCTGGCTCAGGCAGCCCAGCCCATGACAGCAACGGCATGGACGGCCTTGCAACAGCAGCGGCAAACACAAGCTTCGGCGCCGCCTCCTCCCCCAAGAAGCCCTCCACGCTCGCCCAGGAGAACCGCGCGCACATGCAGCACATGCAGTACACCCAGTACCGCGCGCAACACCAGCAGCCGGCAGCCAGCGTGTCCCCGCTCATGCTCAACAACATCCGCCCAGCGTCCACCAGCCTCCTGGACGGCTACGACGACGACGACGCGCAACACAACACACAGCACGGCCACAACAGTCACCTGCAGTCCTCAGCACAGCGGTCCGCCTCCGCTGTCGTCCTCTCCCACCCCTCCTCCTCATCGGCGAACGCGACATCAGCCATGAACACAAGCGGGCAGCTGCACCAGTCAACAACATCAAGCACCAGCGAGCACACCAAGTCCTCCGCATCCTCCTCGCCGCTGCCGCTCAGCCCACCCTCCCCGCAAACACACACGGCTCGCACCCTCGTCAGCTTGGCAAACCCAACGCCAACAACGCCAACGCGCCAGCTGCCCACATCGGGCGCTGCCCCGTTTTCCGTGCCTGCAGGCAACCACGCCATGGCTGGTGGTGGTGGTGACGATGCCGCCGCCGCAACGGCCGCAACCACCATCGCAGTCACGACCATGGCCTCTGTCGACGCTTCCCTGCCCACGAAGCGTGCCAAGCAGCAGCTCTCCGCCTTTCCAACCCTCAACAGCAAAAGCACGGCCACGCCGCCGTCTGTGACCGCACCCTCCACAACAACTCCCGCCAGCAAAAAGAAGACCACCACCTCCACAACAACAACGTCGAGCACACGGCGCAAGAAGCAGGGCAAGAAGCCCAAGCGCGCCGCCACATCCCCGTTCCGCCGCCGCCGCCCAAACACGGCGCGCCGTGGGCAGTGCCGGAACTTTGTCTGCAAGGACTGCGGCAAGGCCTTCAAGCACAAGACCCACTTTACCCGCCACGTCTTTACTCACAACAACCCGCCCACCTTCGTCTGCGGCTACACGCTCAGCAACGGCCAGCCTTGCCAGCAGGGATTCTACCGCCGCGACCACTACGAGTACCACTGCCGCCAGCACACGGGCGAAAAGCCCTTTGAGTGTCAGGTCAAGGACTGCGGCCAGTCCTTTCGCCAAGCCAGCGCGCTTCGGCGCCACATGCAGCGCATCCACAAGGGCGTCGCCTCCAAGTCGTCGTCCTCCTCGTCCTCCTCGGCATCTGCTGCAGCGGCCTCGGGCACAAAGCAAGCTGCCCCCGCCAAGGGCAACAGGAAGCCCAGGCGGAAGGCTGGCAGCAACAAGGCAGCCGCTACAGGCCCCGCTCCTCGCCCACCCGCACATGTGCCGCACCAGCATTCAGACGCGACTGCGCAGGCAAACATGGCAAACCTTGCCATGTTCCAGCAACTCTGCAATCTGCAGCAGCAGCCACAGCAGCAGCAGCAACAGCTAAACGCGCGGAGCTCGTTCCCACGCCCCTTGCCCCTCAACTCGTCTTCCTCCTCCGCCTCTTCTTCGAGAACGCCCTTGTCGGCCAACAACACCGCTGCTGCACCCTCCCTCTCGGCTGACTTCCTGGCACAGCTCATGCAGCAGATGGTGGCCTCAACCCAGGCGCAAGTGGCGACGTCGAGCAACGCCGTTGCTGCAGGCCCGCCGCCGCCACCACCACCTCCGCAGGCACAGCCAGCGACCGTTGCAATGCAACAGCCAGAGCAGGATCAGGGCAGCTTGGATATCCGCTTGCTTGGCCAGCTGCTCAGCGACGTGCTGCAAGGCCAAACTGGCCCTGCCAACGCCATGCAGCAACAGCAGCAGCAGCAGCAACAGCAGCGTGTGTCTGCTTCTGGTGCTGTGAACAGCGCCGCGTACCAAGTGGCGGCGGCGCAGCAACAGCAGCAGCAGCAGCAGCAACAGCATGGTGGTGAGCCGCTGCCCCTGAACATGCCCTTCATGCCCACGATGGCCCGCAACCAGGCTCAGCCTCAGAACAGCAACCACGGCCAAGCCTGCACCTCTTCGGCGGCTGCCTACAGCGCGATGGCCAGCAATGCTGGGGCTGCGTTTACACGCCAAAGCCACCAGCGCTTTGCCGAACAGGCTCCACCACACCCCTATCATCATCAGCAGCAGCATCAGCATCAGCAGCAACAGCAGCCAAACATGAACTCCCTACAGCAGTACCTGGCCGCTTCCATGCAGACGCCACCGCGCCGAGCATCTGCGGCGACCTCCTTTGATCTGAGCTTTCTGAACATGCCGCCGCAAACCCCGCCACGCCCCATGTAAGTTACGTGTGCGAAGAAAAGGAGGGGCTGGGGTTGCGGTGGCAGACTGGCGGGTGTTTTTGAGCTGCGTGGACCCGCTTCGGGCCCGCTTGTGAACACAAGCTGCCCAGCTGCTTTCCAGCCACCTTCCTTCCTTCCTTTTTTCTTTCCTCTCTGCCGTTGCTTCTCCCTGTTCTGCTCGCGCCCACCACGATGTGAAGTCTGTGACTTTCGCTTCACCGCAGTTTGCAGCTGACGGTGTCGTCGTCTCCATCTGGGTAGCATCTACGCTCTTTTCGTTGTTTTCATGACTTGCTTGTGGTTGACCACAGCAGTGGCATGTAGCCAGTGCTTCTGTATTAATGTGATCGTGAGCTGGTGTGCGTTTCCCTTGTTCAAGGGGCATTCTCAATAGTGTATGTGTGTGTGTTTGTTGTGTTTAGCTTGCATTTGTTGTGCACTGCGAGGGGTCATGTGACCCTCTCTGGCTGCATCTCCTCGGTAAGCGGTAGAGCCCTGCTTCTGGCTGCACGCTGTGCCCCACTGTAGTGTAGTGTTGCTGTCTTATTCTGTTCAGCGTAGTGTGTCCTAGCCACTCCCTTTTTTTCGTTCTCCTTCTGTGTTCCTTGGATCCTTTTCTTTCCATTGCCTTCACTGGTAAGTGTGCTGCTGCCGAGGAAGCGGCCTGGTTGCCGACTACCAAGCAGCACACACCCCGCCCACACACAGTGCTGGACCTGGGTCTTGCCACATTTCCTTGGTTTTTTTTTTTTGTTTGTTTGTTTGTTTTTTTTATCATCCTTGTTATCCCCGCCCGCTATTATCATACTCTTCTGTTCACATCACATCCTATTCGCCTCTTCTTTGCGCTCACAATCAAACTCGCACCGCGTCCCAGCACCCAGTTTCTTTGACATGTTCATCATTGCTATTCATTCTTCTCTCGTTGTGTTCTTTGTCTTGTGATAGCACGCATATCAGATCCAAATGAAACGACCCATAATCATTGCCTTGGAGTGAGAGGTGGGGGGAGGGAAGGATGATGGAGGAGTGGGGGAGAGGGACGAAGGAACGACGAGAGGACGAGGAACGCGGGCTGGCGACTGAGACATCAAAGCAAGGCAGAAAGGAAGGACTCAAAAAAGTTGCGCCACACAAAACAGTTTTGGCGGGAAAACAAAGCAAAACAGGTTTGTTGCAGCACACACGCAGGGACACGCAGGTACATGAGTCAAGCAACACACCACACACACACACCAAGCACTGGAGCGGAACAAGAGGCAATATGATGCGTGGTGGTGTTGGTGGCGCTGTTGGTGGCGGTGATGGCAAGAAGGAAGGAGATGGAGAGGGAGTCGTGACGGCTGCGATGGTGGCAGAAGAGGAACGCTTGCAAGCAGCTGCCAAGGAAGAACAGCAACAGCTCCAACAACAGGTGTGTGTGTGTGTGTGTGGGATGGTGTGTGTGGGATGGTGGGATGGTGTGTGATGTGGTGTGATGTGTGTGTGATGTATGTGTGATGTATGTGTGATGGTGTGAGGTGTGATGGTGTGTGATGGTGTGTGATGGTGTGTGATGGTGTGTGATGGTGTTGCAGTTGGTCTTTTTCTGGGGCCTTGGCGGATGGCCTGCTGCCCTTCCTTCACCCTCGCCCTGGCACTGCGCCAGGTTTGGTGCTACCACCGCAAATCAACTCGCGCTTCCTCACACCTGCACCCATCGCCACCGCCATCACCAGGCCAAGGAGGAGTACGAGTCGCTCGTGGAGCACCAGCGCTACATGCGTCTCAGCCATCTGCTTGAACGCTCAAGCCTCTACACCCAGTTCCTGTACCAGCGTATGCAGTCACAAAAGGTGCGCACTGTGCTGTTCTCTGGCTCTGTCTGCCGTGTGCGACACACACACACACACACAATCACACGCATGTACATGCACACAACTTACGCACACACGCACACACACACAAACAAAAACGCATGCACATACAAACACAAACGCATGCACGCACAACTTACACACGCACACATGCACGTACACTCACATACTCGCCTCAATTGTTGCCACGCCATGCAGGAGGCAGAGCAGAAGCGCCAGGGGAAGAAGAAAGGCAAGAAGCAGGTACAGGCAACCGACCAAAGCAAAGGCTCATCTCCCAAGGCCACAACAAGAACCAAGGCAACATCCGCACAGTCACGTGCACACCACAAGACGAAGCGTGACGGCTCGTATCGCCTCGCCGACTATGTAGACGAGAAGGATGTCCAGTCCAAGGCAGCGGAACACGCGTCCCAGACAGAGGACGAGCCGGTCCAACCCACCAATCAAACCAAGAATGGTGTGTGTGTGTGTGTGTGTGTGTGTGTCTATGTGTGTGTCTATGTGTGTGTGTGTGTTTTCTGTGTATGTGTGTATGTGTGTGTGTGCTTGTGCATCATTGCTTTGCCCGCGCGTGCTTGCCTTTCCCTCTTTACCCATGTGCTGCTCCTCGTGTACTGCTGGACTTGGATGCCCTGTGTCATTGATCCCTGATGCACAATCCATATGTAGTTCACAACCCTTGTGCCCCCCCCCTCCCTTTCATCACTCGCGCGCAGTGCACAACTTCGAGCAACCCACGCTCGTCACAGGAGGGCAACTCCGCGACTATCAGCTTGCGGGCGTGGATTGGCTGCGGGTACGTGTGCTACGTCCAAACTTGCTGATATGACGGCGACACTCCATTGTCCTCATCTGAACACCCTCATCTCCACGCTGCCTTTCCCGCACACACACACACACACACACACACACACACACACACACACACACACACACACACACGCGCACGCACGTACGCGCGCGCACACACACACACACACACGCACGTACGCACACGCAAAACACACACACACACACGACATTCATTCTTCGGTGGTCAGGCACTGTACGAGAATGGGCTGAACGGCATCCTTGCAGATGAGATGGGTCTTGGCAAGACGGTGCAGTCCATCGCCCTCTTTGCCCACCTCTACGGCCACAAGGTGCCTGAAATGCGCCTCAATGTGCACATGTGCATGATTACATGCGCGTCTGTGCACCTCTGTTGATCCACACATGTGTCTGTGTTCTCACGCTCTGAGCACGCGTGCTCGTGTG